CCGATACCCACCCTCACCAACTGAGATAAATGCCTGAAAACCTTTCAAAATGGTACGGAGGGCATGAAAAACGTTATATGATCGAATATGAAGATCTGAAATTGGTTTCTCTGATAACCCACTCAATAAAAACACACCTGACACGGCACTCCGAGCTTTGATATGATCGCCTCAATCTTTCTTTTGAATGCATCTTTGTTGACCCTGCCAATCTAAAGGGATACGGTTGTTGCCTTGAAAAATTTGGAGGCATCTAGTTTTGGCATGCTTGCTTGAGCCCAGTTCTTACCAACTTTTTTTCATAGTTAGAAATTTAACACTAGCTCTTCTAGATGGATGTGTAGGGTGAAAGAGAAAAAGAAGGAAACGTTGGCTGCCAGATGGAAATACTGAAAAATTAGAAAAAACCATATATTAGGGAAATTTGTCATAGACTGTCTCATTCGTTAACATAGAATGCTTTATACCTACCTGAATTCCCTTTTGATTCGTGAATATAACGATTTTGTACCCTTCTTCATCATACAGCTTCTTTATGCGTGGCACAGTTTCATTAAAAGTCATGCGCCAATCATTGTTATTCACAGGATAAACTCTTCCTGATTTTGTAGAAACCAAGGAGCCATCTGGAACCATTATGAAAATTCTAGAATGAATTAGGTGAACAAACTACAAACCCATGTCAAATGCAGCAATCTTTGTACGTGGTTCGCACTGGTTATGAGTGAAGATGAGAACAGCATCTAAATGCTTGCTTTCCCACTTCCCACTGCTGGCTTTATGCTTTTCCTGCGAACCTGGAATATTCAATACTGGAGTGATTGGGCAGAAAGGTAGATTATACCTTTACTAAAAAAGAGACAACTTGCATATTGTGCCTATAATCCAATTTTAGATGAATTATACCAAAAAACAAAAATGAAATGGCTGCAACTGCGAATGACTATCTCTAGTACTCAAACAGAAAAAGTCCTTTATAAGACATCCTTCTCCGTCAGTATTCGTCATTGTACCGAAACAGCGCCTATCCTAATCCTAGCTCCAAATATTGGAACTTCAGTGCCCAATACTTGTAAAGAAATGTATTCGATAGCTTACCATAAATCGAATTTATTCCGAAACCGTGATGTTAACAGTTACGATAATCTCTGCACTGATACCTCTCTCTAAAAAAAACCCTTAGAAGACTAAATTTCATCTCGGCCATAACAATGCGACTAATGCTACGACCAGATCACT